AATTTTCCTTCTAAGAGCTTCTTTCACCATCCGTGTGATGGTGGGCCCATAACCTATTAGATTGCAGCTATGGAAGCATCTTCGGGTTCATGCGATGGACACCATGGAACATGTGCAGAGAGGCGCTCGAGAGAGTAGGCGCCTTGTTGCAGAGAAGGGATCACTACTTATGATAAATTTCACGAGTCCACAGCGCAGCTCTTCTTCTACGCGGTTTCCTTCTACTTGTCATATCAACGGTCGAAGTCCGTATAATCAATATCGTACGGTAGCCAGACTGCTGACTGTACCTAGCTACCTTCTCAGTAACTAGACCGACGACATTCTAACAATCATCGCTCCCTGCAATGGAGGCTTGGTATGGCCCGAAGACGTCGTTTCAGGGCAAAGAGCTGACTGTGGTGGTAAAGAGGAACATCATCAAGATGATTTTGAGAGGGGGTCTCGGCCTTTCGCTCGAGATCTCTAAAATGAGCCACGGAGTTAGGACAACACCGCTTCGAATCGTGCCCATGAGTGAGTGGAAGCAGCTGGAGACGAAGTACGGTGGGCTGAAGGCAAGTCTCGAGAGGACCAAGGCGCTTCGGGGCAGGTGCTTGATCAGCGGGGGTGCGGATCCATCCAGCCCTGACAAGGTACGTTGAAGCTTCGATTGCAAGTTGCTGGTATGCAGCCGTTGACTCCTTGCCTAAAGGATTCATTGAAGCTTGTACTGACCGTCATTTCTGATGTTGTTCTCGTGGTCACTTGAAACGTCGCCTGACTGTAGGTCGCAAAGGGTCAAAATGAACGGGAGTAAAAAACCCCTTAATTAAGCAAATTGATCAAGCTCCTAAGACTTTTACTCCCATTCAATGCAGCTCGGGTGAGTAGCCCTGCACCCGGAGGGGGAGCGCATATGTTGTCTAATGGGCCAACTTTTCGAGGAGTAAACGGAGGCGCAGTGGTAGCGCAAGTCTGGATGTTGTTGCAGCTCGAGAGTCTAGCAATTGCTTGTGACTTAGTTAGAAAGCGCGACGTAGGAGTCGCTCGTGCATTCACATACATGCATACCTTCCGAACTGTTTGAAGTAGCTTGATTGGCTTATGTAAAGTAGTCTCAACCGAGTCGCCAGGTACTCACGGCCGTGAAAACCTCTCAGTTAGATACTAGTGCTACGTCAGATTGGCAGATGGCACAATGTGTGTTCTGAATCGACATCATGGTTTAAGCGCTTGTTGATCCGCTTTGCGAGCAAACATTTTCTGAATGTTATCACAATATAGACGTCGTCCAACTCTAAAGATGCAATCGAAAAGCTCCATCCACGATCATCCCGATTCGAATCTCCTATGCGCAGCATGTTTAGAATCAGCAACCTACAAAGAGCAACGTCTAGCTCGAGCTCGAGCTTGGGCTAAAGACAACTACGTTTTGAACCGTGATAAGATCTTGCTAGAGAAAGCTCTCGATCGTTTTCGTAAAGGCGTTAAAAGTGAATGAGACCACACTCAGCAAGTTAAAAGAAGCGAATCTGCTTGAGCCTCGCCATAGCATCCTTGTGTCTTGAAACGTATACAGAGTTAGGCAAAGTCAGGCAGTGGTACCACTGTGAGCAGATTCACTTGGTCGATCACATGTCTGCACATGCATCACACGGTATCTAATGGCAATCATGATGCAGGCAAGGCCTATAGAAGTGATGTGATGCATCTGCTTTCACACGTTCTTGAAACGAAGGCTTTCCAAGCTTTGCCCGAGTTCAAAAGGCTTTCGCCGGCGCTGCGCACGATTACCCCGGAGAGCTCATCATGATCATGGGCGACCCTGTCTTGATTGCGATGAGTGCCCCCGCCGATGCCAGTGCACAATTGCACCGGGTGTCTGCTCCTCAACTTGTGCAAAGCAGCTGAAATGTGCCCGGACCCTGATCGATGATAACGGTCGTTGTGCACTGCGTCTTTGAAACAAAGCAATGTCGACGGTGCCAGATGCTCTTGAGAATGCGTTCTAGAAAACTCAGAACATCCCGATTTTTTTTTCTAGGCTAGGAATTAAGAACCTGCCGGCGCGGTAGGCTGAATGCATTCCCAGTGCAGCATGTCAAACTCTCGATCCAGTCAATTGCTGGAAGCCTTGGAAGATCTTTCAAAACAAGGCTTGCATGGTATACCAGCTAAATTCCGGCTCTCTGACAAAGGTAAAAAGAAAGGGACCACTTTGTCCCACACCAAAGGCAGCGAAGCCATCAGAACCAGTAAAGATTGGAAAGCTGCTTGGCCAAGAATGGTAAGCATGGTTGCTAACGACCCTGACTGCAACTTTGTGGCAATAAAGACCGGCGTGATTTCTGACGTCTTTGTTCTAGACATTGACGTCAAAGCTGATCCAGAAAGGAACCAAGAGTCGGGAATGAGGTTGTGGAGACGACTGATTGCAGAACATGGAGAACCTACCACACTAAGGGTGACGACTGGAAGTGGCGGCTTCCATTACTACTTTTCCTATGCAGGAGCGCTGAAGGCCGGCCTTCAATCAGCTAGTAACTTCGAAGGTGTTGAGTTTGATGGACAAAGCTATGGTATTGATGGTCGAGGAGAAGGTGGGGTCGCTTTCGCCCCTCCAAGCGCAATTGGAAAAGACCGTGTATATATGTGGGATATGGAGCCCAAGAGAGAAAACATCAGGGATCCGCCGTCTTGGATAGTGAGTTTCATCAATGAGCATGCAAATCGAGCTGGATCGAAACGAAGAACTCAAACAGCCGCTTCAGTGGTGAGCCAGTCACGTGCGTCGATCGACAAGAATGACGAGGTGCTCATCAACTTGAACCCGAGTTCACAGCTTCCCGACTTCCCAAACGAAGTTTGGACGGATCATCTACCAGAAGCTGATCAACACGTTGGAAAAGCTGAAAAACGAATAGCAGATGCAATGATGAAACTGTTGATAAACGAGGGCATCGGTGGTGAGGGTGTACGTTTCTCAGGCAATGTTTTCGCAAAAGGCGCTTATGGCACTTTCTACTCTTTCATCTGTACCGGACCTAGAAAATGCATTCACAAACATCAGCACAATGGTTCGAACAACTTCACCCTAATAAAACGGGGTTGGACGGTTCTGTATCGTTGCTTTGCCAAAGAGTGCTCCCAGAAGCCCATAGCCGAGCTTGGCACTTTGAGCCTAGCAGACTCGTTCTTGGATGCAAATCCGGCGAAATTACATTCTACATACGATTTGTCATTGTTCCCAAGCAACCGTTCAAAACTCACTGAGATTGAGACCCAATCCTATTTGGCAATCATCAAGCGGAACGTAACCGACCGCTATCGGGGCTTGGCTGCGATATTCAGTGCAATCTATGCCGTTGATGGCAGGATCTTTGCAGACGGCAAGACCTTCTACTACTGGAACGGCAAGAGGTGGCAGATCGACGGTTCTTTCCACATCCAAACGGTTTTTTCCACACATTTGGCCAGTATTCTCAACTGGTATGATGGCCTCAGAAAGGCTGCCTTTAAGGCACAAGTTCGGATCAGCGTGGCAAAAAGGATGCAGCAAAACGAACCGTCTGAGGCGGCTTTTGAACTGCCAACGTGGGCAGTGAATCCGAAGACAGAGAACGAACGAGAACTCTACAATGCCGCTTGGCATGTAGTCGACAAAGTGTACTCATTCCCAACGAAGGGGTCTTTACCAATGGTCGATTTAACACGAACCTCTGAAATTCGGATCTGCTTGGAGTACGTTGTAAATACCCTACAAATCCAGGAGGACTTGAATGCCTTATTTGATCTGGTCAATCCGCATCTGTTTGTGTGTGCCAACGGCGTTCTAGACGGCCATACCGGAAGCCTTCTACAGCCTCATCCAGCGTACCTATGCTCGCGAGCTTCCCCCGTTGCCTTTCGTGGCATGCCAACCTCGGATGGTCGCTTTGTTAGAATGCTGATGGATTGTTTCGAGGACGATCTGGAGGTGCTGAATTGGTTTCAGTTGTATCTTGGATACTGCATGACCCCATATGTGAATGAGCAGATTTTCATGATATTGCATGGTGGTGGTTCCAACTTAAAGACCCTGATCAAAATTGCGTTGATGGAGGTATTTGGAACCTACGCCACGGTAATGGACAGTGATGTTATTATCGAAGCAGGAAGAAAACGCTCGGCGGGGTCAGCTTCTTCTTACCTAATGGCACTGAAGGGTGCAAGGCTTGCGATCACAGACGAATCTAAAGAGAAAGCCGTTCTCAATGAAGGCAGTGTCAAGGAGCATAGTGGTGGAGGCTCAGTAACTGCTCGAGAGATTAGAGGCAAACAAGAAGTCTTTACGATTACACATAAAGCAATGTTGAACACGAATTACAAGCCGATTCTTGACAGCGTCGAGTTTAGCGTAGTAAGACGGATGGCGTTGCTACCGATGCGAGTGACATTCAGGGCCAAGGATCAACTGGTTGCTCGGCGTTCGCGCGAAAGAATTGGTGATCCTACTCTGGAGGACTACTTGAAAAGCGATGAAGGCCGTGAGGAGACACTATCATGGATTGCTCAAGGCGCCATGCGCTATTTCGGGCGGAAGTCCGAGAACCCCCAACAACTGGTCCTTGGAAAAAGTCCAAAGGCTATGCTCGATGCTCTCAAGGAATACATCTCAGAGAACGACTCTTCGACGAAGTTCTTTGAAGAGTGCTGCGAGTTTCAGGAACCTGGATTTGCAGCTCGTGAAGCATGGCACATGCCCGCTGGAAGACAACTTGAGGAACGGTATACGGTGTGGGCGCAAGGGGAGGGACATCAGAGTATATCGGCTCTGAAACTGAAAAAGAGTCTTCTTCGTTATGCAGATGCAAAGAATTGGACGATTGCATATGGGAAGTACACTGATCGAACTGTGCAAGATGGCCAATTCTACGGCTTTGCCGGCATACGGTTTTGTGAAGACCCGGATGCGAATCTCTACTAGCGAACGTCTTACGCCCGTCTTACAATGATTGAGCATTTCTCGACTGTTGCGTTCTTTGGACAGTGATTTGTGCCAATCAGCAATGGCAGCATAAGGAAGATGAAAAGATCAGAAAGACTTCAATCTTATATAGTCCGATTTTTTGGCAAAGCCCGAACCGCTCCTATGACAGTCAATGACGGAAACGTGTCTTTTCAAGCTTTTCATCTTCAACCGCCGGCCCCCAATCATGAATGCGATTCACAAGGCATTGGCAGCCTTAGAGCCCTCAAGAATGGTCGTGACTTGTAGCACATTAGCTAGGTCTAAACAAGCTCTTCAAGTCCGACCATTCTTACAACCTGCAAGCTCAATTGCCACATCAATGGTACAATGGTAGTTCAAGATGGAAGCAGCTGGGTTGCAAACGTTTGTCACAGATCACTGTCTGGTAGGAAAACAACTTCCTGTGAACTGCATGGCAATCCAAAACGGCTTACAACAACTGGTCCGGTAAGCCTTCGCTGTGCACAGGATTCAAAGATCTGGTCAAGGGATTAGGCTTCATTGAACAGCCGGCGCGTCTATAAGGGAGTAGCACTAAAGGAAGCACTGCGCTAGAGGAGAACACGCAGCAGCTTACGAAACAGACACGAAAGCAGTTGTAAGACACCTTCAGCCCCATCGATCAAGTAACGCGAGCAAACAAGATGACGTC